CCTGAAAATTCCTGGGCTCAAGCATTGTACCCATGCCATCCAACAAGAATACGTGAGCATGTGTCCTGTGCCAGTCCTTGGTTCTGCTGGGCGGAGGAGCAGAGGGAGTGACTATTAAAGGGAAAAGGAAATAGGGCATGCCAAAAAAGGCTACCAAACTGAATGCCAGTGCTCTCCATTACTAGCCGGGTGACTTTGCACAGAGCACTTAACGTCTCTAAACTTTACGTTCCTCATGTAAGGGTAAGGTTCTTAGCATCTCTCTCTCTCACACATATTGAAATCTAGGTAAAGGCTCCCATACTCAATAGATTTTATTCCCTCCATCTTGTTTACATCTCTGACTAAACCTTAAGGGTGTAGTAGATAGTGCCTAGCCTTGTGAGCAAAACACCAAAGACCTACAAAAACTGGGTCCACCGAGGAAGGCCAGAAGATTGTGCCCAGTCAGGAGTAAGAATTTTGCCTCTTGGATCCCTGGGGAAAAAATCAGAGAAGAATATTTTTGGTGGAGAAATATGTTTCCTAACCCTGAGGTGGAATTCATTGGTTAGGAAGGTACTCTCAAAAGAGTATCTTGCCATTTGCTGGCTCTTACCATTAGGTAGCAGGCTTATACTCTCCTACAGTATGAGGAGCTCAGAAGATCCCCCAGCTGCAAAGCATCTACCAACACATTATCTAATGCCTGAAAATACAGTCAGTCCTTTACATTTTAATTGTGATGGATTTTACCAGGTTCTTTCTTGAGTAACAGTTTGCTCATGGAAGGAGAAAGTAGGAGGGTAATTGATGCTGAAAGAAGTTATGTAATGTCATGTGTGTGACTGTATATGTAGTTATATAAATATGGCAATATATGTGTATGCCTGGTTATATCTGTGTTATGCGTGCAAAATGTGTGTGAGTGTGTGTCCCTAAACTTCTCTGAAAATATATTTCAGGACCCTGCTTCAGAGTCATTTTCCAGCTAACTCCTTGTTATTTGTCATTCCATCAATGACAAAACCCAAATCAACCAACATAACCACCTACCTAGAGGAGATAATTGATGCTTATTTTGACTACCCAGAAACACTGTAATCCCCATTCTCCAAAAAAAGATATACATTCCAGTCTTTTGATAATGCTGTCTGTGAGAGAGATATCTGATGCCTTTTATTTTACTAGAATACGTGACCCACCAGTGGCTATGCCAGATAGAACAGGCACCGAACTTGATGACAAGTCGATTAATATAACCCAAAAACACAGCCAGCCCCTGAGCCCTCCAGTGATCTGTGTGCAGTTGCTTAAGAAACTTGAGAGGAATAACAAGTGGCATTTGGCCCTCTAATTACCTACACATACTCATAAATGTGTTGTTGATGCTAAGTCATACCAAATGTCTGCCTTCCTGCAGGCAGGGAGAAAAGGTAAGGCACTCTTATACTTTGAGGAGCGTGGGAGAATATTTAAAAAAAATGAATTTTAAAAAAGGTTTCCTTTTACTGGAGTCCTCTTTTCTTTGTGACGGCAACTTTACAGTCTTGGAAGCGTGAGTTGTGCCTGGGACTGGTGTTCTCAACCATCCTGGCTGAAGTCTGAGCATCAAGGGCTGTTTTTTTCTGTAAATGAAGGCCAGAGGATGGGTATTACTTAACCTGCTCCCTCTGGCACAACCTAAAAAACTACCAGGGGTGAGACTGGTGCGAGAGTGAGAGTGTCATCTGTCATCAGAAAAGACCTTTTTTTTTTTCTGTTTAAATATTCGAAAAACCTCTTTACTAGGGCTGAACTTTAATCATCTGAGAAGGTACTACAAATAGGGGGTTAATCCATCACAATGACCAGGAAGAGACATGAATTGTGGCCTTAATTTTTTTTTTTTCTTCAGATAGCACAGGATAATGATATTAGCACCCTCTGTGGGAAGAACACATAAAAAAGGTGTTACACCTTTAAAAATTAGATTCTCTTTTAAATGCTCAGTAGTTTGCTTAGAGGGGTCAGAGCAAGTTTCTTTAAGCTTAAAGATTAATTAATTTGTGAAAGAAAAGATTTCAAGTGTCACAAAACCTTAGTTAAAACTACTGATTTCCCTTATTCTTGCCTTTCCCCTTCCCCAGCCCTTCTTCAAAGCAAGAGGTGCGTGAGAATAAAATGGTGTGAGCTAAATTCCTTTTTGTGTAGAAAACATATCTTCTACAAAGACACACAACACAGAGATATACAGACACACAGAATAAGAACACAGCTTTCTGTGGCCAGCATTTGCTCTCCAGTTAGCAGACTGAAGATTCCTCTTGACAGTGATCTTTCATTACATTTACATGGACTTAAGATCTACACATGTGATGTTTAGTCATATGGGGGGCAGGGGTGCCAGCAGCATAAAACAAAGCACAATTATTCTCTGGCTTTTTCTTATGGCCGCGTTGAAAAAAAGAAAAACAAAAGAAAAAAATAGTCTTGGGTATAAGCGATAAACTCTACAGTCTCTAATATCTATATTTCCATGGGTGGGGGGCTGTGGTTCTGATGTTTCCCAGAAAGGACTTGGTTTTGGAAGCTTTCCCTATAGCTGTAAGCACACCAGCACAGCCTTTAATGCACCGAGCCAGAAGTACCTTTTGGTACTAAATTCCAGTAGCCTTCCTATGAGATTAAACCAATGGAGTCCAAGGAACTTTTCTTCAGTCACCACAATTTGGGATACATCCTCCCCCCAAAAAAGGTATGTTGTCTTCTAGAGGAGGTCTTTTTACTGGAGTTTAATTATAGATGGCACATCCCTAAGTGATCCCTAAGTTCCTGCTCCCCCTGCCCCCCTGCCCAGTGATACGCTGTTTAAAACGGCAGCTCCAAATTGTCATGCTTAGGCTCAATCTAAAAGCTTCTCCTCAAAGTTAGCAAATAAAGCACCTCTCTTCTAGCCTAAATAAGTGGTACAAACACAGTGTATGTTATTATATCATGTTTTAATTAGAAACAAAGAAGATGAAGTTTCCTGGTCAGGAAGAATGAGCTGGGAGAGGGGAGGGGGAGGAGGGAGAGGGAGAGGGAAAGAGATGTTAAACTCTCAAGGTTTAACACATTAGAGACATTTGCAAAGTATTTCTCTCCAAAGGGCCTCTTACATGCAGTATTGTTAGGAAAATGGATTTCTCCGTAGGTAGAAGAGAAACCTATCACTAATCCTCAGCTTAAGTAAACCTCCTGGTGATGACATTATGCATTTCAAACAGCAGATTTTGCCTTTTTAGGTAGGTGGCTAGAGGCATTTGCATTTGGGAGGTGGTGGTGTGTCTGTTTTCCCCATCCCTCTCCCTACTATTTGGATGTCTCTCTTAAAAAAAAAAAAAAAAAAAAAAAAGGAAAAAAGAAAGATGCCTGGCTGTAGGATCTTTCAGAGTGGTGAGCACCTGAGTTTGAAAAAGACTTCTGGGCATGGGTGTTGGTTCAGTATTCACCATCTGCTCTCCATGACAGTTTATTTCCATCATACAATTGCTTAAAGTGCTAGCGAGTGCAAGACCCCTCCCATGCAATACACCTCACTCCTCCCTCTTTCCCATCCCCACACCCACCAACTGCTACCACTCTTTAATTTAGTCCAGTAAACAATCTGCACCTCATTGATGGATCTGGAAACCTGTGAAGGGTGGGGAGAGGCAATCATTGATCCCAACACACAACAAAGTAAAACAACACTGGGAAAGCAGACATTATAAAAAAGGGCAAGCTGAAAACAGGCAGCTTTTCTGTTCTGGGCTAACAAATTATTCCCATCTCAGTAATATTGGAACACAGGGTCAAATGGTGATCTTCCCCGATCCTACCCCACCCCCACTGCTTCTAAAGTCTGTCCCTAAAGTCTCCTGCCAGAAGTCATTACCCAGTAGTCATTCAACCTGAGGTAGGATTTTTCTCACTGTTCCCCATAGTAACTAGGAGTGTGCTCTCACTGCTCGGAGCCTAAGCTTGCTGCAGTCTTCGCAATGTGCTCCAGAAAGCACAGCTTTCATCCGCCAACATTTGGATTCTGCCTTATTCCCCTTATTCCCCTCAATCAGATCGGAGTGAGCAGGAGCTGAGGGGCTCTTTCTTTCACTTGGGAGAGTACAGAAAAGGGCACAAATGCTACCAACTCTGGTGAATCAAAGGCACAGGAGAATTACGAGCCAGTGGCATTAGTGGGTGAGATTTTGAACCGATTTGAAAGATGGTTGTATTAAGTGCAAAAACGTTTCTTCCTCATAGGACAAACTGTCTGGCACTGCCTTTTAAAAGCTATTTGTAACGATCTCTGCCTTAAAGGCTAGGCAGTGATGCTCAGTCCTCAGCGCCCCCTCCTTTCACTTGCGTTACAGTGATTGCATTGCTCTCTCCTAAAGATAATGTGAAAGGTCTTGCTTTTTCCCCTCAGTCTTTAGTCATGTGGGGATAAATCAACCTGATGAGCTTTATTTGTTCCTCTTAATATTTCAAATTGAGTCTGACCACTATACTCCGCAATTTCTGGATTTTTCCTCTGGCCGCTGGACCCCCCAGCCCCCTCCCCCCCGCCCCCAGGGAAGGACATGGTAACTCTTCCTTCTCTTTTAACACAGGTAACAACTCATTTAGATTACACCAGTCTGTAAAAACTGTAAATGCTATTTTATTTTAAACATTTTAGTTTACAAAAAAAAAAAAAAAAATCAATGATTGGTACCTTTTTTACACTCTCAGATTCCTGAATATGGACAGATCTTCAAAGGAAGGAAGGAGTTCTCATATGAAATTTAAGATTGACTGTCCTGAAGGTTGTGGGGCAGGGTTTTTGTTGTGTTTTATTTCGTTTTTGTTTTTAAGACACAATAAAGCTAAAATGTCAAGTCTCTGGGAGATATCCCCTTACAGTTTCAGTCAAGGAGCATATCAGAGCACAGACAAGGAGACCCCAGCCTGGCGCTGGCCGGCCGCCCCGGCCGCCCAGGCGTATTTGGTAGCGCACGGGTTGAGAGCCACTGGGAAAATCACACCTCGCATTCCCTTGCGGGCTGCTGGTGGCAGGTACAGGATCCGTACTCATTGATGATCACCAGGGCCCCCTCAATGTGGTTCGGTTTGTAATCAACGTAGTATTCCTGGGCAGACATGGCAGCCATCTGATGCATGGTCTGTTTCTGCTTTTGCTTCCTGCGCTGCGTGACAAAGCACTGTCTGAGCTGCCTGAGGCTAGCTGGGAAACACTTCCAGGAGACATAGAGCACCAGGACCACGATGAGGAAAGAGAAGATGAGGGCCATGGTGCCTGTGACCACCTTGTGGATCTGCACGGCGTTCTCGGCATGCTCGCCGCCTGGGAGAGCCACAGTAGCCGGCTCGTGCGTGCCGTCGAGCTGCCCCTCCCTGCCGTCAGCGAGCGTGGTGGCCGGGCTGCCCGGGAGCCCGAGGTCACTGTGGTTGGTGACGGCCGAGAGCAGGTGGCCGCTCGTGGGGTCGGCCCCATCCTCGCACAGGTGGAAGGCGTACACGGCGTCTAGGACGTCCTCGCCCTGCGCGTACTCGGGGCTGGCGCACTGCAAGTTGCCATCGTAGCGCCCCTGGAAGCTGCTGAGCCACGAGGCCAGGGCGCACACGTTGCGCCCGCAGTCCCACAGGTTCCCGGCCAGGGTGATGCTCGTCAGCGATTTCCAGGAGTTGAGGATCCGGGGCTCGATGTAGGTGAGGCGGTTGGAGTCCAGCTGCAGAGACTGCAGGTGCGGCACGGTCTCGAACACATGGGGCTCCATGTACTCGATCTCGTTGCCCGACAGGTCCATTTTCTCCAGGTTCCAAACCCAGTCCAGCGAGCTAACCACAATGGCCACCTTGTTCCTCTTCAGGCAGAGGGAATGCAAGGAGATGAGGCGCGGGAAGTGGGCGAAGTTCACCTTGACCAAGTCGTTGTGCTCCAGGTGCAGCTCGGTGAGCTTGAACAAGCCGGCGAAAGAGTTGCGCGCCAGACTCTTGAGCTGATTGTATCCGATGTCAAGAAACTTGAGGCTGCGGCAGTCCTGGAAGATGCGCACCGGCACGAACTGGATAGCGTTGGACCGCATGTGAAGCGTGGTGAGCTTCCGCAGCCCATGGAAGAGGTCGGGCGCCAGAGCCTGCAGCTTGTTGTACGAGAGGTCCACGCTGCGCAGGTTGGGCATGGGCCGGAAGGTGGTGTTGGCCAGTTGGGTGATCTGGTTGGAACTCAGTGTGAGTTCCTTAACTCGGCGCAGTTTCTGAAAGGCGTCCCCCTGCACCGAGCAGATGTGATTGTGATCCAGATAGAGCCACGTGAGCTGCATTAACCCCGTGAACTGGCCGGCGCGCAGCTCCGAGAGGCTGTTGTAGCGCAGGGACAAGCCCAGCAGGCCGGACAGGTTGTGGGGCGCCTCGGTGAGGTTGAGCGCCTCGCAGTACAGCAGCCGCCCCTCGCACCGGCACAGCTGCGGGCACCCGCTGGGGGCGGCGGGCAGCATCTGAAAGCAGGCCCCCAGCAGACACAAGACCACCCCCGAGGGCCTCCTCAGCAGCCAGTATAGACAGAGACCGAGCAGCAGGAAATCCATTAGCGAGAATCTTTCCAGAGAGGCTGGAGAATGTCCATTGGAAGCGCTCGGTCAGAAATCTACATCATATTTTATTCCAAGGGAGGGGGAGGGGGGGGAGGGG